TAACATTTTCCTATGAAAATATTTCGAGGAATCTAAGGTCATCCAAAAAAATTTGCAATAATTTCTATAAACTTATTTCAGAAATTCTTTGAAGTATCTTTAACAGGCTCAACTACTGTGAAACAAAGCGAACCTGAGTTTTAAAATTAAAAGGCAAAAATAAATCCCTGATGAATTTACATAGCTTAAAAATAATGTATTAGCCCATGAAATGAACAGAAAAGATGCATCAAATGTGCATGCATATGACATCTCTTACTGTGAACTCAACGTACAAATATGTCTCTAGTAAGACGGAGGCAGTAATACCGTTAACTTAAGCGCAAATGCAGTTCCCTAGAGCACGGATATACTTCTTTTGTCGGAAACTACTCTTTCGGACGTTCTTCCTGCAGCCAATTTGTTCTTGCTGACAACAGTTTTAACCTCAGAATTTTTTGGTGCAGTACGCTGCATTATTCGGACAGGAATTCCTCCCAAATTGAAGTCTTCCTTCAGAGATTTTGTTAAGAACCTCAAGTCTGTATCTGATAGTCGCGTCTTCGCACTCACAAATGCAACGAAAGTAGGTGGTCGGGCTTTCACCTGAGTAAAATACTTTATTTTAGGTTGAGCAGCCTGATCTTTCCAAGAATGTCTGCTCATAACCTGGACATCACGAAATTCTCACAATTTAAGAACCAATATATATATATATATGTATATGTATAGATTGCAGGGCACAAAAAAGAACGTTATGATATCGGCTAACCTTGCGTAACCAGCGGTTAAGACGAGCTGTTGGCAGTCTGAGACACCACTTTTCATAGGTATCAACAACCTCGCGCATCACAGCAATCCGCCCCTTTCCTTCCAGTGCAGAAACAAATACCACGGGTATCCCTGAGACCTGCCAATCAAAGGGAGATCAAGTTTTTCTATGCTATAACTAATCGCTCCATCATCCATGCAGTGTTTATCCAATTACTGATTTGTTTCCATGAAAAGATATGCATGCCACCCACCTCCATTGTACCTTGTTCAATGACAAATTATTTCGAATTGTCTAATCACTTCCTAAATGCAGTTCAACCTGATATTGAAGTTCATACATGCATTGATTACACGAGGCACTCAATGCTGATGGGGACGGATTTTAAGTGCCACAAATAAAAGTTGTATGAACATTATGATTGTAAGATAAGA